TCAAACACTGTTTCAACTCTATTCAGTCCATTGTTACTTCAAAACCATTTTAATATTTTTCATTATATAAAAGCTGTTCCTCTATGAAATTAATGAAATTAATGATATTCATATAAAAAAAAAAGTTGATGTTTATCAAGAATAAAAAAAAAAAATCCCTGAGACAAATGGGGAGACTCAGGAATTCTCCCTTTTTTTATTCCAAGCAAGCCAAGGAAGCTCCAGTATACATACATATAGCATATATATATTTAACTGATCATCTATAAGAAAATACATACATTCAATTAAAATAAATACTATACTATAGGTATGTGGTAAAGACTAATTTTGTGGAGCAAAATTCCATCAGAAAGTTTGCTCAAGTTTTAGTTTTTTCCAAAGCATTTGAATCATAGAACCTACTTTTTAAAATACCAAAACAAATACTTTGGACTTATTGTGTAAACAGCCAAGTTATCATGGTGCATATACCTCTCGTTACAGCTACTCCCTATTCAGAACATCAGAATAAAGACAGAAAGAAGACTGCAAATACAGCTTCAGTTTGATTTCATACTGAAATACCCAGTAAAGGTCCTCTTTGGTAGGCTGGTTTTCTAGCAAAACAAAACAAAATTTATTATTATCATATTCATTCAATACTTAATATGTGCCAGTCAACGTTCTAGGACTTTTGTACATACAATTTCCTTGATGATCTCAAGAACTCTATCAAGAAGGTAGATAAAGAACCTGAGTCTAAGTCACATGCCCAAGGCTACACAGCTCATGAATGAAAGGTCAGAATTCAAATATCTTCTTTTGGACTTTGAGATCTTGTTCTTGACCACCATATGTGTTTACTATTCATAACAGTATCTATTACCCGATTTAGATGAGAAAACTGAGGTTCAAAGCTCAGTACCCTATTCAAAGTTTTTCTTCTATGGAGTCATCCACTGAAAATTAAATCAGGTTAAAAATTATTAAATCAGGTTCTCCTTCAAATCACCTTTCCAAATTACACTCTGCCACTAATCATTGTGATTGGGACACCTTGTAAAGTCACTATTCTTTGTTTTTGTCATTTACATTCAACTTATTTCCTTGATTATAAAAAGAATAATATGTTGAAACCAATAAAAACATATGTTTCATTCCTACAGTAATCAAGAAAAAGTGGTTCTGGCTGGAAAAAGCATTTAAAAAAAATGCCCTGAGTTATTTTTGGCCCATACGGTATCCCCAAGACACGTTCTCCCTGTGGACACAGAGCAGCATATGGCTGTTCTTTTCACAATTCAGGCTCTTCTGTTTACTCTGAACCTCTAGGTTACAGTATGTTTTGTAATCACTAATAAGGACCACCTGCCTCTTGAGAGTTTCTGCCTAACAAAATAGAGAGACTCGTTCTTTCTAATTCACTCTCAGGTAGACAATACACCCCTCATGTGTGGGCCAAGATTACTGAGTAGAAAACTTAAACAAATTATGCTGATTGTATTGCTAAATTAAGAACATATGTCAGTTCCATAAAAAGAAAAAAGAAACAGTAATGTTTGGAACAATAAAGACAATGCTTTGGAGGAAATGAAATACCTAACATATTTTCTAGGAAAAAGAAAAAGAATAATCTACTTATTTCAAAAATTCATTCAATCCACTAAGAGATATTCAAGGCAAATTTATTGCATTCAAATATGCCTAACCATATACCCTCTTTCTACAAATGTATACTATGGTTGAACTCAGCCAGAAAAACTGGCTCTTTGAAAACAAGCAGAGTTCAATCCAATAACTGACTGATAAATGCTTACCATTGAGAATGTGAAAGCTATCATAAATCTGGTTTAATAGAACAAGAAGAGATAGAGTATATGGAGAAGAGTAAATCCTCCTGTCAGTATCCTCCTTTGGCCACAGTGACAATTCCCACCAGAGGCTGGGCCAGATTAGGAACCTCTCTCTAGGCTGCCATTGCAAACCAGTATATATACCTTCATCAGTGCACCTGCTTCATTGCGCTAGAATGGTTGGTCCGACTGTTTGTCTCTCCTTCTAATCCATGAGTGCCCCGAGAGCAGGGTTCACCTATTCACTCTAGTCTCAACACCTGTTAACAGAGTATGAGCACAGATTGAATTTACCAAATCCATTCAAAATATAACTGCCTAGGGGATGATACCTACCCACATGGTACCGCAGGAAAATAAATTCATCTTATATAAAGTTTACTTTTTGAATGCAGAGAGATTTGCCAAGTATTAAGGCCAATGTCAAAGACAGGCAGAAAGGACTGGCTGTGGGGACAAACAGTCAGCATTTTGAATGCAAAGATTGTCTCTGAACTTTCTCACACAAACTCAAGTTCCTCTTCTAATGGGTCCTTCACTTTACCCAGTACACTCATTATCTATCATGTCTCTCACTGACCATGTGGAATATTGAGATATTGGACTAATCATAAGCAACATTTACAGACCTCTGATGTGCCAAACACGGGGCAAAGTTATTTATTGTATTACTTCATTTAATGCTCATTACAACCATATAACGTGGGTGCTACTGTTTTCATTTTAGACATGATAAAACTGAGGCAAATAATTTTTTAGTACTTTGCCACAGATCTAAGCAGAACATTAACAAGTCAGTAGCTTGCCAAGCACTCTAATACTCCACCTTCAAGCAGGTGACTAACGCAACTCCTAAGGATAAAAGTCATTTGATTTGTCCTGATAATCCTCAGAATTTAATTCTTAATTTATAACCTCTCCCCACAGTCCAATTTATTATTTTTTTCTTCTAAGAGCTGCGTTTTCCATTTCAGTGAAACCAGCAATGCTATCTAGTTACAAATGATCATAATCATGCATGAGAAATAATTCTCACAAATTGTTTTGATACATTTTATGAACAATAACACAGTCATAAACATAAAACTTTCATGCACTGTTAAATGTACATAAAAGAGCAGCTTGAGATTCAATAGGAAGTTTTATAACTACATTATGTGTATATGGTGAGACAGGTATATATGTGTACTTGTGTGTAAAATTATGTCATGTAATGGTATTGTATGTTAGTGCATATATTTCTGAAACATTTGATTTTGCTGTGTAAATCCCAATCATCAGAATATATTAATGATAGGCAGTTTGACATTAATAAAAATCAGACAAAAGTAGCTTTCCTATCTTAGACCTTGTCAAATAATTTCTGTCTTATTTCATTTCCCATAGGTCCTCTTTCAAAAGGGCTTTTGTCAAAAAGCTATTGATTATCAATAACCTGTGGCATTATGAAAGTTATGTTTCAGTAAATGTCAATTTGGATTGCAGAACAATGGATAAGATTTCATGAAGCACCTACAAGTAGTAAAGTATTGATATGTGGCCTTATGTATCACTACAATAGTTAGAAACATAAGCTGTCTGTGCATTATTAAATGCATAGCTGTAATAATTATCAGGAAGAAAAATAAATCATAATCTCTCTGGTTTTGTAATTTCTCATCGTCTACTTTTCTGAGAACTTGGGTGACTGGTGCTGCATAGACATATCACTTCGGGGGACATATTTGGAAATACAAAAAATTGATTAAAAATATCAAATTGATGTCTTCTGATTAGGTTCAAACATGAGAAAGCATGTGTACACTCTCACAGTATTATGGTAGCTCTGAGAATCAAGAAGAGGAGATGCTTTTGTTAGAGGAAAGAGTGAATTACACACAAAAAAATAGAACAGAAGAAGAATATTTTCCTAGTTTATTTGAAGCATTTTAAAAACATTCTACTGTCTACTGTTCTTGTAGTTATTTCTTGGCCACCAAATTTCTGTGAATAGTCCTACATTTCTGTGGAAGAGATGCTGGATGAATGAACTCCAAACCTCGGCTGAGACTACAGAACGTGCTCCATCCTTCTCTATACCTAAAAACGCCAGTGTGCACTAATATGTGGCAAAGGGCTGTTGAAATGTGAAATAATTCTTTACAGTAAGTAGATGCTACCCTCCCTGGACTCCCCACCCCAGCATCCACAGCCCTGTGCACTGATTTCCTGGACCTCCCTTATCCATCAAGTTCAGAATTGGTTTCCTGTTCCAGAGCCCCTTAGGACTGAAGAGTGATGGCACCTAGTAGCTCTCCCCAAATCCCCCAAAGACCTCTGCCCTAAGAGAGCTCCTCTGAGGGAGTGCCCACCAGTCTTGGACACCTGATGAAGTTCCTCCTCCATACAGCCATCCCCACGTGCTAACCCCACTGGGTCCCCATCAGATTCCAGTCGAAAGAAACAGAACCCTGGGTGATGGTGTGGCACCTTGCAGGCAAATGCCCAGGTGATTTTGGGCACCAAACCCAGGTCTTGGGAACCTGCTTCCAGCTGGGCTCTTCAAGTCACCCTCACATGGCCATTTGTGGAAACTGAGAATTAATGGACCTTGACCTGAAGAGTGCCTGAGGTAGACAAAAACAGCAGGTAGCTCTAAAGGCTGTTAAATAATCTGAACATCACCCTTGGATACATCAACCTTCCCTGGTGTTGCAACTGAAAGAGGCAATATAAACGCATAGTATGATTCACTTCCATCAACCTGATATAGCCAGAAGGTCTCACCTTGTGATGTGGCAAAGGTGATGTGCCCTTTTTTTAAGGCCAAATTTATAAACGAGGACATATTCAGTCAATTCCACCCCACCCCCAACACACATACAAAAATTGTACAAAGATTACAACAAATTTCTTTCATAAAAAGGCAAAATTTCTCTAAGTGTATAGTCAATTACAGAAAAAAAAATTAGATCATTCATTAAATTCTTACAGATATCAGAAGATTTCTCTAAAGAGGCTCAAGAATGTCCATAACATTTCAAAATTGAAGAGAGAATCAAGTCATACCTTTTCTAAAAGTTTATTTATGGGGAAAATCTATTCTGACAAAAGTTATATACTTAAAAATAAAGCATCCCTCCTGGAGAGCTATACACATTAATAGATGTTTATAATGATACTTGCTTTTAGATGAAGCTGATTGGTCCAGTGGCCGATGACTTTGTACTCTGTGCTTTTGTTGGTTATTTGATACTGGAAGATATCATAACGTCCAGGAGCATCTCCGTTTTCATTGAAAGTGACAGGAGTGCCAGCACTGCCTATAAAGATTTAGAAAACAATGTTAATAAAGCTTTAGTAAGATAGCCCACTGGGCTTATTTTTCTTTTAGAAGGAATGGTAGATAAAAATATATTGTGTGCAGTAAGTGATACAAAGATTACAATCCATACAAGGTCATTCTTGATAGCATAATATCTTTTACATGAAAAGAAGCCTAGACATACATACATGAGTAAGATGTGCTTTATTGTACACATTAGAAAGTAAATGATGAGTATCCAAGTTAAGCAATGCACATAACAGCTAAATAAATAAAAGTTGATAGGCTGAATATTCAATACTGGCTACATAGTATGATAGTTAATAGAGAAAAATGTAAATGTTTTGAAGCATGACAGCTATTGTACAATTCGAACTACTAACAGCAATTCAAATTATAGCAGGAGAATGTTCTGGCCAGAATCCTGAGTTTTGCTTTTTCTAAACTCTCTAAAGCAGTTGCCTTTTCAGTTCCTGTGCCTCTGCTACTTCTGCCCCAGAGTATATCAATGGGGTCTACTGTTGGGAACCTCTCAATGGGTGAGGCAGTGATCTATGGGAAGTCTCAACTCTGCTCAGATCATAAATGTTCTCCCCCTTCACAGTGACAGGTCTAAGAGTGGCAGAGCAGCAGGATGCAAGAACTGTAGTCTTTTCTAAACTCCATTCCTTTCGGAGGTTTTCATCTTTTCTCTTAATAGTTTCTGCTCACTTTTACTTTCCCTCTTACTAACTTTTATGTAATTACAGGGGAAGAGTAGAAATGGATCACCACCCCAATGTGTTCTTGTTCCATCTAGCTTCACTATCCATATAGAATTGCCTTTTCTCTAACAGCTTTTAGGCTTCTGTACATTTTTTTTTTATTCTTTCCTATCTTGAAAAATTCACATAACACCAATCCCTTTTCTTGGTGTCTGTCTTCTCTCTGCAGGCCTCTTCTCTGACTCTCTTCTCACAGGATATTGGATTTAATTTCTATAACGTGCTAGAGAGTTTCCCCTTCTTGTTATCTCTGTCTCATACTATATTCTCCAAAAGTATACATTACTAATAATTATATATGTCAACTGTACATATTTCCATCTTATAATGAGTTTCTTATTCTATCTGTAGAGTTGTTTACCTAATTACCAGCCATCACAAAATTCCAAAATATTTAACTTATCAAACAAATTGATGACTTTATCAAAAAAAGACAATAAGCTGTAAATAAATTTAATCAGAGTCACATAGCAACAATGTGAATACTTTTCCAGTATTTAATGGACAGATGTCTAATATTCTGTTTTCTTGATTCTTCCTAAAAAATCGTGATGTGAGTTCTCTGATGAGACTACAGATATCTGGTATCATCAGGAACTGCTGAGGCTGCAAGAGATGGCACCGCATGGGAGAAAGACCACTGCTCTCAGAACTGGAAGTTCCATGTCCAGGCTCACTCCATTCCCCATTGATTTCCACAACTTGTGTACGTCCCTTTTCCTTCACTTACCACAGGGACTTAACAATAAATATGGATAAATTTTGAGGTCCTAAAAGAGCTGTATACATGTAAATTATTATTACTATTATTAATTCACATGGGAAATGACTTTATATATAAATCAACAGATGTACATTACTCAGGGAATAAAATAAGAGCTCTCCAATCAGGCTGTGCTATCTTAGCTACTCGTTATATATTCTGGTGGAACCTATTTGCCAAACCTGACCAAAGCCTTTCTCAGCTCCTAGTGACCACGAGCAGGTTAACCTCTTAAATCCTCAGTTCCTTCATCTGTAAAATGGGAGTAATAATGATACTTTTCTCAAAGAGTTGTTGTGAGAATTAAATAATCAACACTTGTCAAGTGCTTATAACAGTGTATGTGGATAATTAAATTATTCACTCCACATTTATTTTCAGTACACACCAACACATAGTAATAGAAAGGATGTTGGAAGTTCTCTAAGTGATGGCTAGACAAAAGATTATTGAAATTCAAATGAGGAAGATATTTCTGACAAGAAAAACACATATGTTAAGAATTTCACATTAACACGATCAATTCCTGACATCTATATGTCACTATGAAATATTTGAATTGCATATTCTCTCCTCAATAAAGGGATACTTAATTCTCTCTACTTAAAATATCCCAAGTTGTCACCTCCTTGACTGAGGGACTCCTTATATTCCACAACAGCAGTTCCCAATCTTTTTTACAATCACAGTACCTAAGATGAAATAATGTCACTTGTATAACACTTTACCATGAATATACCCTGAGTTATACATAATTCCTAATGTGCTAGCTGTTTCTATATCCAAGTCAAGAAAGCCTCTCAAGAGAGCTCATTGGAGAGCTACATTGTCACAAAATACAATAATTTGTAACTTAGATACTTTGAATATCATTATTAAGATAAGTTACACTACATCTGACAGTGTATTAAGGTGCAATATTCTAAAGTAGTTATGAATGTGGGTTCTGGAGACAGATCATTGGGTTCAAACGCCACTATGTCATTTATTGATGTAGTATCTTGAGTGCATTTCTTAATTTCCCTATATCTCACATTTCTCAGTTATACAGCGGGCTAACGGCAACTCCCACCTCAGAGGGATATATAAGGATTAAATGAATCAACATATATAAAACATTTAGTACATCATATTATGTATTAACTATAATTTCTTCTGTTGTTTTATGGAAATGTTGTGTTTGAGAGCCACTGTCTATATGAGAACATATAAACTCAGTGAGCACGTAAGTTTTCATGATGTCACTCTCATTAATCTCTGTTCTCTTTCAACACAAAGCCACTTATACCTAAAATGCAGGTCCCTAAATTCATCATGCTCTATCTCACCGTTCTGTCTTTGCTCATGCTATTTTCTCTAATTTCCCATTCTCTTTCCTCCTTATCCCTCTCTATATAATTCCTTCAAGATATGGTTCAAGGTCCATGCACTTATAGAAGCTTCATCTTACTCCAACCCTGGGGAAGGTGCCCAACCACCTCTTTATGTCCTAACATGCAATACCAAAGCCCTCACAACACTCCACAGACTTTTACTGTCCATCCTGTACCTGACCAAACATTTATTCCACAGATACTTTTTTAGAGCCCAATGTGTTCAACATTGGGTGGACCCTCTGCAATCCTCACAAAGCTATGGTCTTCTTAGGAAAGGCAAAAGTATCTATTATCATTGTAAGCACTGCAGCAAAGACAGTGCTCAGTCCCACGTGAGTAATCAATAGATTATAGGAAAGCATGAAAGAGGCATCCACTAAAGATTCCAAGCAAATCCATGCTTCCCTCTTTGTGACCTTATGAACTTCATATATATTTCCTCCCATCTTTTGTATTCACAAATGGAGAGAACAAATAAATCCTCTCACCTTGCTATTAATGTGACATTAGGGAAACCACAGGGAAACTTTGACATATCTTTGAATGGGCTCTGCGTTAATTACCGGTAGCTGAAGTGGTTATTATTACTGATCACCTTTGCACCTTGTTTTCCTAAAGCGATTTCTAGTCTCAAACTAGGCTTGCAGTTGAATTACTTCAACCCTCTTTCAGGAAGAATTGATTCCATTACATATTGACTCATTTCAAATGACTGCCATGGAACTCTGGTCGATGTAGAAAGAGCATCGTTGAGTAGCCATAAGGAACTAACTCGTTAGCTGTTTAATAATTCCTACAAGTTTGCCATCTTTTAAAAATACCATTGTTTGTACTGAAACTGGCCACTCTGAGAAACAGAATTAAGTGCCAAATATTTTTTTGTCCACAAAAAAATTTCAAATGACAGATGTTTGTTAATATAGTCATCAATTTATTAAGGTTTAATAACAACACAACACAGGTAAGAAATAAAATTTAAATATATTTGATTAAGCAATATTCACACATATTTTACATGAAAAATTACACTCACATTTTCCTGTTTTGTTTCTCTCCATCCTACACTTTAGGTATTTCATAAATTTTGAAGTGTATTAATTTTGTTTTTGAGGAGGGTGGAGGACAGGGTCTCCCTCTGTCACTCAGGCTGGAGCGCAGTGGTGTCATCTTGGCTCACTGTAACATCTACCTCCTAGGATCAAGGGATTCCCCAACCTCGGCCTCCTGAGTAGCTGGGACCACAAGCGTGTGCCATCGTGCCCAGCTAATTTTTGTAATTTTTGGTAGACACAGGGTTTTTCCATGCTGCCCAGGCTGGTCTCGAACTCCTGGGGTCAAACAATCCTCCCACCTTGGCCTTCCAAAATGCTGGGATTACAGGCATGAATAAACGTGCCCAGCCAAAAGTGGATTAATTTTTTAAAATAGTTTTCAGGCTGGGTGCAGTGGCTCATACTTGTAATCCCAGCACTTTGGGAGGCTGAGGTAGGAGGATCTCTTCAGGCCAGGAGCTGAAGACCAGCCTGGACGACACAGTGAGACCCCCCATCTGTACCAAAAGAGAAATAAGCCAGGCATGGTGGCATGTGCCTGTACTCCTTATTACTCAGGAGGCTGGGGTGGAAAGATCGCTCGAGACCAGGAGCTTGAGGTTACAGTGAACTAGAATTGCGCCACTGCTCTCCAACTCCAAGTGACAGAGCGAGATGCTGTCTTCAAACAAACTTTTCCATCCACATTTGCTAGTGAGGAAATGGAAACAAGCAACATGGAATTGTGAGGTAATGTCTACTCATCAGGTGCTACCCTTAGAGCTCATACATCTCCTTGAATATTTTCTGTTCAGTAAGAAATGTGTCAAATATTTTTATTCATAGGCATCTCAAACACTCCAACATGGTTTTGGAGGGAAAATAATACATTCAACAAAGATTTTTTTTTTTGAAAATGTTGGCTCTTTTGAATATTGTGCAGGGGAAGAATATGGGCTTGGGATATAGGGACTAGAGTCTGCTTTCTGACTCTACCAATTACCTGTGTGATCTGAGTAAGTTAATCTCCTTAAAAGCCTGTTTTCTCATCTGCCAAGCAGGCA